AGGAAAAAAATCATTTTTAGAAATAATAGCATTATTCATCTTATTATCATCTTTGCCTATAATGCAAGGAAGACAATACAATTAAATATACCCTGTACTTTCTGTCAAAGAAGTCTTATGATTTGAGATCTTGAATAAACACATGTGATTACAGCCACACATTTCTATATTGTTTGTACAAAAATGTTGTTTTTGATAACTGTATTAACAATAGACATGAAAATCTTTAAGCTGTCATAGATTTATAAGCTGAATGTGAAAATATTTATTATATTACCTAAATTATACATTGCTAGTTAATCTCAAGTGGCAATTAGTAAATATTTACAGTTCTACAATAAACTAAGTTTACACATATTTTTAGAATAATTTATTTTGTAATAGATCTTAACAGTGCCAATATTAAGAGGCAACTGGGGAACAGAAAGGTAGTTCTCTATTCAATACCTATTTTCTCTTTCCTCTTTACAAAAAGCCTAGATTTGGGAGGTGGAGGAGTAAATCAATGTGTCTATATATAAAAAAGCATTTCTAGTTGAAGTTAGTAGCCATGTAACAGAATTCTGGTCAAGAATATATAGATGGAGTTGTTCGGTGCTTAAGGAAAGTTCTTTAAAAGGGTGATAGACTTGGCTCAGACATGCCAAAGAGAGGTCTAGCCTTTGCTGCAGCTCATGGATGGTAACCTTTAAACCCTTGAAATTTCCTGAATAACAGGATTGTTATTTGTGGAGGGCCCTTCTAATCAAATCTTATAGTATATGTTAATCAGACAATTCATGGTAAGTCCCCAGATAGTTTACACTAAGAAGAAGACTCATGGCATAGGCTGGCCAAACCACAAAGGCTAACCATGTGATTACAGCATTGGGGCTTTGAGCAATCCAACAGCCCAACCTCTGGGGAAGAAAGAAGGGAAACCTGGAGACTGAGTTCTACCAGGTAGGTTAACGATCCAATCAATGATGCCTATGTAATAAAACTCCAATAAAAACTCACCACCAGAACTAGGTGAGCTTCCTAGTTGGCAGTACTCCAAGTGTATATTGCTACACATTAATGCTAGGCAGGTAATGAGTCCTTAAGGATGATTCTGGGAGGGTAACATATCTGTGAGAATAATGGAAGCTTCACATTTGGAACTCTCCCAGTCCCACATTCTCCCCTATACAGTTCTTCCTTTGGCCGGTTCAGATTTTTATCTTTTTGCTATTAAATAAAACTGTAATTGTAAGTATAGCACTTTACTGAGTTCTGTGAGTTATTCTTGCAAATTATGAAACCTGAGGAAGTCTGTGAGGACCTACAAGTTTGAATCTAGTTGGTCTGAAGTCAGTATGGCATTAAGAACCCCCCAATTGTGGCTGGTGTCAGAAGTCTTAAACAAAGCTGGCAGTCTGGAGGACTGGGCCCTTAGCCTCAAGTTTGGCATCCTTGAGTAGACTTTGTTTTTCCCTTCTTTTCTAAATGTAATGCTGGATGTAGGAAAGCCATCTTGTGACAACATGGAGAAAAAGATATGCCAAGTGTATCAGACAGGGTTTAGTCAGGGAAACTATTTCAAAAAAGGTGTAATGCAGGAATGAAGGTCCTTAAACACTGGAAGAGCTGGAAGAGCAAAAGACTGAAGATCCTGCTGTAGCAGTCCTTTGCCCTTCCAGCTCTTTAGGTGTGTCACCACAGCTGTAGTCCAGAGATTTAGGAGGTTGCTGTGGCCACTCAGGAAACCACAGGAAACAGGAACCCCAGAGGGAAGGCAAGTGATTGAGAATGAAATGCCCAGAAGCAGATGCAAAATCTCACAACTGGTGAAGTCCCAGTATCTGCCAACCACGCTGCCAGAAAAAATACTGCAATCTTCACTGGCAGAAAGTGAATCACAGCTAGAACTCCAGAGGGAAGAAATCTAAAAAATGTAATTTCTCAGCCTCCAAGTATCTTCCATATATTTCACTCAATGAAAATGCTTTTTACCATTCTGTTTTTTGTGGGGTTTTTTTTTTTTTTTTTTTTTTTGAGACTGGGTCTCTCCCTGTCACCCCAGCTCAACTGTGATGGCACAGTCACAGCTTGCTGCAGCCTCCATCTCCTGGGCTCAAGCAATCCTCCCACCTCAGCTTCTGAAAGAGCTGGGACTACAAGTATGTGCAACCACATCCAGCTAATTATTATTATTATTGTTATTATTTTATTTTATTTTATTATTTTTTGTTGTAGAGACAGGGTCTCATTATGTAGCCTAGTCTGGTCTTGAAATCCTAGGCTCAAGCCATCCTCCTACCTCAACCTTCCAAACTGTTGGAATTACAGGCAAGAGCCACTGAGCCCAGCCCTATCTCTTGATCTTAGAGGTTTTTTGTTTTTTGTTTTTTGTTTTGCAAGTTGTATAGTTAAAACTACCACGGTGTTTGGTATAAACGATAAAAATTTTCTCACTATATGAACATACACTGTTTATCAAGAATTCATAAAGAATATTGTGGAATGGTATTCTTAACATTTTTCCCCAAGCCTTCAAGTTTTAAAAGGTATGAATCAAGAAAGCCTCTTAGTGAAAAAGGGGGTATGGCAGTACCTCCTACCCTATGGCAGCCAATGAAGGTATACAGTTTATTATTTACATGAAAAAGTGACCTGATACCCAGAGCTATGGTCTCTGAACATTTCAATCAGATACTCCATCGATAAAAACTTCCAGGCATAAACATCTAACATATATATATTTATCATGTACAAGAGCTACTATACTAATATATCACAGATATTATAAAGCATGGAAATTTAGACAGGATGTAAAAAAAGATAATTGAAAATGCTACAAAATACCATTCAATATTGAATGTAGGTCATCATTTTTTTATTTTGTGAAATTTTCCTATTGTGATAAATATAAAATTCACCATTTTGAAGTGTACAATTCAGAAGTTTTTTAGTATATTCATAATGTTGAGCAACTGTCACCACTAGTTAATTCTAGAATATTTCCAGCATCTAAAAACAAATCCCGTATCTGCTAGCAGTGACCCCCAATTCTTCTTTCCCCCAACCCCTGGCAATCATTAGTTTACTTTCTGTTTCTATAGGCTTGCCTATTCTAAACATTTTATATGAAAATAATCATAAAATATGGGTCACTATTTTTAATCTATTTGTTATAGCAGTTTACAAAACAGCAATGAAAACTTGTTTCTGCATCAGTTTTTTGATTCATGGTTTTGTTATCATATCTAACAAAGACTTACAAAGATCCACAGACCCAAGCAGACGTATATCATTTTTTCAGTCTCACTCATCAATCATTTTGTTGAAATTTGACTAGGAAATATCTACTTTCTCTAGATAGTCTTTATTTATTTATTTTTTTTTAGAGACAGGGTCTCGCCATGTTGCCCAAGCCAGAGAGTGGTGACTTGTCATAAGTACATTACAGCCTCTAATTCCTGGCCTCAAGGAGTCCCCCACTTCAGCCTCTCAATAGCTGAGACTCCAGGCACATGCTACCGTACCAGCTTCTAGGTATTCATATGAATAAATCAGAAAGTGTTGTGTTTATATGCTTTTAACAATCAGTTCCAGATTCTCTGCAACTACTTGTATAAGTTTTAAACATATTTAAAATTTCTGATTCCAGGTTTTTAAGCATGAAGATGTACAAGTTTTTATAGTGATGCATATTTTTCCAATGAAAAAAATCAAAGAGGTGTTTAAATTGCCAAATGTTACAAAATGTCCATCTCTATGAGTTTGTTTCCAAAAGTATTTACTTTGTCATTATCATAATATTAATTAAATTTTTTTAATAACTTGATATGCAGCATCCTGCAATAGCAATCTTTTAAAACCAATCACACATCTTATGAAGATTAAGTTAAAACTAGATTACCTGTAAATCCACTTAATCTAACACATGCAAACTGCAAGAAAACTGTAATATTGCGGAAATTAATATATGAGTACGGACCCCACAATGATTCCTCCAAAGTGTGCATGTTCCATTCTTCCCTGAGGTCACTCCCAAACCACCTGAGACAAGTGGCCACTGGACCCAAGGACTTCATAAAGCCTCAGTAATATGGCACACCAAATATTAGTACAGCTTAGTTTCCTTTGGTGTACTCATTTAAAAAAAATACAAATGGAACTTCAGACATTTTTTTCCCACATACCAATGGATCATCTTGCATATTCCAAAAAAAAAAGGTTACAGTTTTATGGTTTTTTTTAAACCTGAATTTAGCAGTGACTAATTATATTAGGCACTTGGAAAGTACTTATGGAAGGGAGAGGCAAAAAGGAAAGAAAACAGTAGATAAAAAGTTACAATTTCATATAGTCCTGAGGAACAAAATCTTGGTTATAAAAATGTTATTTATGAAAAGAGTTTTTTTTAAAATAAAAAAAATTTACCATTATTTAAAAATGAAGTATTTAGAGTAGATTAAGCAATTAGGTGGTGAGACCTAGGGTGGCGAGTCTAGGGTCAAGGCCAACGCTTGCCTTTACTTACGTTCTAAAACCAGGTATTTAGAGATAAGCAAAGGAATTTACAGTAGAACCAAGGGCCACTGACAGAAAAAGGGCAAGTACCCACATCATCTAAATGTAAGGTGACGTAAGTACATTACAATTTTAAATTTCATTTTAATTTTATTGTAAATTATACTAGAGTAACTATGTATGATTATAACTATATAAATCTCATACAATTAAGGATAATTGAAAAGTTAGAAAACACCTGAAATATAAATATACTCCAATTTGGCAAATCGCTATTATAAAATCAGTTGAATGACAAAAATGAAAGCCAAGGTATACAGTGTTCATAGATGACTAAGTGCACTGTTTACCACAAGTGTTCAGAACAAAAGGCAGAAGCACTGACTTCACAACCTCAATAGATTCATGAAGAAGCTCAAAGCATTTATGACTTATGAGAGCTATGAAAACTGAATTTAGTTCATAGGTCATCCAACGAAAATAATATTAAAAGAACTTCCTACCTTTGTGATAAGAATTCGGTATTTATCCAGCATTGCCTGGCTGTCGTGACAGCCCGCCAGTAACTGCCATACCTCCGCTCTCAATGCTTCAGGGACGCCACTCTTCACCAGAGTAGATAGCCCTTTCGGCCGTGCACCAAGGTTATTGTGCCTGAAAAGACAAGAAAATAATCCATTCACACTGCCTTTACAACTCCTGAACTGCTGTTGCTATGAAAAGTATATTAGTTTATATAAAAGTATAAGCCTGGGTCAAGAGAAAAATGTTTGGGGACAGGGCATTAAACAGTAGTACTACTTAAGCTCAATTATATCTTCAACTTTTCTTCTCATCTTCTTTATTGGTGAGCCAGGTAATTCTACCTCCAGGAAAAGTTTTTTCTTCCTCTCACTTACTTTTAAAAATCATCCTATGAACTTATTCATAATAATTAATGTGTCAGTTATATAATTCAAGGCAACATTTCAAGGCATAAAAAGAACGACGTGAATTCCCTGAAATGAATGTACAGCAAGTTGGACAATGATGTGTGGCAGGGAATGGGTTCAGGAAACGATGCTGAAATGGATCATAGGCCTGTCACACCTTAACTGTATCCCCTTCTCTGAGGCCAAGCTGAGCTAGGCCAAGTGCCAAAACCAGGCTCCACAGTATAGGAGGCATAAGGCATATATATTATACTCAAGTTTTACGTGGCACCACATCCTGGCTCAAAGGTCCTCCAGGAAGCCCTATCTACTGATGATCTAACTTGGAATTCTTTGTTCCAGCATAAACTTAGATATCAATGAACTTCCAAGTTAAAATGACCTAAGACAGGTTTTCCAGTAAGAAGAGTTCATTATTGTTTATGTGTCTGAATTTGTCTCTCAACAGTAAGTGCTCCTAAAGGAAGGACGTAGCCCTTTCCTACAATCACCAGAACCTACAAAATTCCACCTTGCGGGGGGAGCAACATATACTCTCAGGCTTTACCACATCCCAAGGGTATGCAGCATCAGAACAAAGGCAAAGATCTCTCCTCCTAAAATCAATTATCACAACATAGTAAACATGCTGCTATGTCCAAGTGACCAAGAAACCAAATTGCTTATTTCAACATAGTGAATGTAATTTCATTTATCATCTTTTTCCTGGTGCCTAGCTTGAACCTGGAACTATATTCTATGCCTTTTTGCTCAGACTTGGCTTTATTTGCTGCTCGCTTTTTATCTCTTAGAGCTCACTCTGGTGCAACCACTGGGATTCCAAATCTTGACAACGTACTCTGGTTTGATCTAACATCCCAGGCTCTGGTTTCAAGTTTTGAGCCTCAAAAGTCATAGAATCCACATGTCTATTTTCTAAAAGTGGCCTCCCACCGACTTGACTAGATGATACACACTCTTCCACCTCTAGCTCAGACCCCAGTATTGGCATACCTTCCTCTGCAAATATATTCCTTGCTTTCCCCATACTGTCATAATCAGGCTACCTCAGACAAAACTGTAACTTCCACAATTGAAACAAGTTCAGGTAAACTCATCCCATTAAACCATCAGATTTAATGGTTTATGTTAGACTTTTCTAACTAAACTGTTGTATTGTTGGGTTAGAGAAACTAAGCTGATAATACTGAGGGGCTTGAAGCAAAAATAAATTAGAAAAAGGTAGAGCTTACATGATTAAACATGCTACCATACCTTAAAATAACAGTTATTCTGCAAAGTGACAAAAGCAAGTTTCGAATTAGTAAATAGGTGTTAGCTTAAATACACATACATACCTACTATTTTGAAAACTGCTTTTAGACATGCATGGAAAAATAATATAGAAGAACATACTTCAAAATATCTGTGTAATAGAATTAAGAGAGAAAGTAGCCCTTTTGTTTACCTATGCCGCTGAAATATTTATAATGATTTAAAATTCTTTTGTAATCATAAAACATAAAAAGTCATTTCAATTCTTTAAATTTCTCCCATAGCTTTAAATTAAAACATAATTTTAATTAATTTGGAAAAACATCATAGATAATTATGTTTCACAAAATATGTAATGTGGAGGAAAAGTATTAATTATTCTTGAGAAGACTTCCACCTGAATAAACTACTTAACAAGAATATTATGCCACAAGAGAGCCAGGATCAGTTATGAAGGAATCTTTTTGTAATTTAATGTTTGGCTCGGATTATACTTTTGAAAAGGAAAAATATATGGCTTAAGGGTAGCTAAGTTTCTGTACTTTTAGTGTAGAAAACTGGGTTAATTAAAAGCAATGAAGAGCAAAGCTCATTTCCTCTGAAATTAAATGCAAAATACTATGAATTATGAGTCCCATAATTTATAATATCATGTAAAGGAAATCCAAAGTATGTAAATATAGTATATGTTACATGTTATGTAGAGATCAGCAAGTCATCACTGTGACTCCACAGCTATTAAAACTCCAATGAATTAAATTAATTAAAACTCCTTGTAAAAGAATCCTTTCTTGGCTGGGCACAGTGGCTCATGTCCATAACCCCAGGACTTTGGGAGGCCGAAGCAGGCAGATTGTTTGAGCCCAGGAGTTCAGACCAGTTCCAGACTGGGCGACATGGCAAAACCCCATCTCTACAAAAAAACAAAATACAAAAAACTTAGCCAGACATGGTGGCACATGCCTGTAATTCCAGCTACTTGGGAGGCTGAAGTGGGAGAATCACCTGAGCCAGTCCCGGACCTAAATGTGCTAAGATCACACAAGCCTGGGAGTCTGAGTAAGACCCTGTCTCAAAATTTAAAAATTAAAAACATTTTTTAAAATCCCTTTTTCAATGCCATGTGTAATTCTCCATCATACTCTTACCCTGTGCAACAAATTTCAAGAGTTGTTATAGAAGCACGATCTCTGTTTCCTCCCCTCCAACTCCTTTCTCAATTCAGTTCAACATGGTTTCTGCATCTCTCCTTGAAAAGTTTTCACTTAAAATGATCTATGACCTCCCTCCGGCCCCACTGGATTCAAGACATATTTTCAGTCCTTTCACTGTTGACCACTCTGTTTTCCTTGGCTTCAGTGACAAAGTACTACCTCTTTATCCACCTTCACTAACTCCATTGTTGATTGCTTCTCCTCTATTAACCTCTTAAGTGCTTCGAGTCCTCTCTTTCTACTCTTGCCCTTAGTGATCTCTTTCATTTTCTTGTCTGTATGCATTATCACCTATAAACATGTATCCTGAGTTTCAGAAGCTCAAAGGCACGTCAAAATCAAAATGTCCAAGTCTGAACTCAGTTTCTTCTCCCTAAACCTGGTTATTTTCCAGGGTATTCCACCTCAGAGGCTCTTACACAATCCATCCAAACTGGAAACCTAGAGGTATTTTTGCCCCATCATCTATTACTAATCCAAGTCTAATATATCTTATTTTCTCAACCTCTACAAAGTTCATGCATTTCTATCTCAACTGCAACCAACTTTATCCTCCCTAGACCTCTATAACAGCCTCCTAACATTTACTGGTCCTTCCACAATGTATTTCCAATATTATAGGCAGGATGAAAATAACAAGCAGTTTGATGAAATATTCGGTTGCCTCAAACTGTTTTGTATGATTTAACTAATATTTTAAAGTTTGAATACCTCTTTCTACACACACATACACACATATATATACACACTCCTTAAGATTAATAGTCAACAATTCCCAGTGAATACTTTACCATAATACAACCCAACTCAATTGACATTCAGTTTCTAGCTTATCCTCAGCCACTTATTCAGCCAGGCATAACAAAAATATCTTTCCTCCTCTCTTATAAACTGAGGCACTATTTATCTTTAGAGACTGACATTTAAAAAGAACTGGGTCACTCATAACACTGCTTGATTAACAGCCTTGTTTTACTGATTATCCCAAGTAACAGCAGAGCAATCACATTACATACAGCACCCTATCACTTGAGAGGTACTAATAAATATTAAGCCAAATGCTGCTAGCATATATCTATGACCAGAGAGGATCCAAATAAATAAAAAATAAATTTATAAAAATAATCATTGCTTTCAATATTTAAGATTAAAATGTAACTACACATTGCCATTGCTTTGATACACTGACTGCAGCTATCAGGAACTTGAAAATAGGCAACTAGTTCTAATACACGCTGAACTCTACCCTAGAAACAAGATGGATACCTAATACAATTATTTTTAAAGTCACACACAAACCAATTATGTATTAATCATACAGTAATTGGCTAGGTTTTAATGGACTAATAGAAACTCCACAAGGGTAAGAATATTTGTCTTCTTTACTTATATATCTTAAATACCTAGAACAGTGCCCAGCATATAAAAGGTATTAAATACATTTTTGATAAAGGAATGAATATAATTACGAAATAAAATGAGTATGTCAATTACTAAAGCTAAACAAAAAAGAATTCTTTTTTAGAAGCAAACATTCTCATTGAATTTAATAGGATAAAAAAATGTCATGGACTCATCTAGTAGACTTTCTTTGCTTTCAAAGAGGATTTTCCTGAAATGACTTAGGCATGTAAGAACTCTACTTTTAAAGGTGTCTACTGGAAGATAAAATTTCAAAGGGGAAGTGCTATTTCTAACAAAAACAGCAGAAAAAGCAAGAGATGAGGGGGATAAAAGTCATTGAATGTGACCACTGAAATGTCACCAATGGAATTGGAGCAATTTTGATCGAGGGGAGGCAGAAGTAGGTGGCTACTAGATATGAGAATATGACAGCAGCATCAAGACCCATTTGAAAAAGTTGTCTCCAGAAAACAAAAGAACTACAACTGAAGTTAAAAGATGAGGTAGCACCAAGAAAGGCTGGAGATTTCTCCAGCCCACAATAATGAGCACTAGATACAGAGAAGTTATATATTATACCTACATTAAGAAATGTTTCAAAAAAAAAAGATAAAGGTCATTATGAAGATGAAAAGCATACTGGTTCAAATACATTTTCCCACTCTGATAAGTAATGAATAGCCACAAAAATATAATTAAAATGCCTATTAAATATGTATCAATTTTCTCATATTCAATAAACAGAATGACTGATTTGAAGGTGATTTTACCTGATGTAATAATCCAATACCCAATTTTTTCCTCTGATGTTCACTGAGTTTTTTTTGGTTAGAAAATCTTCCTGCATAAT